TGATAATGCTTTCCGTGTCTGAACTCAATCCTCTTCACCACAACATTCCCCTCAATCCTCAACTGTTTGGCCCGATCTGAACACATCCGGTGCTGAAACACAATACTCTTGCCATTTGTGATCACTTTATAATACTTCTCCTCCACAATGATCTTCATATCAAAGTTATCGCCTTCGAGTATCAAACAGTCAAACAGTCATATCATATGTTATTAGCATTTATTTTCAGTGAATTACAAAATAATGGTTTAGTTTGTAATGAGAGGAATAAAATCGTAAAACAATACCTCTTCTGATGGCAGTGAAGAGGTCTTTCTGTGGACGACCCCATTCCCCATCGCGTCGAGTATTGCCAATAAACAGCTTATCCTCAAACATAATACACATACCGAACGGTATATCCGAGTGTTTCCACGTTTTCTCGTCTATGTTCGGGCCGTCAATCAAATCAATCGTCAATTTTGTGCAGTTTTGCGGCGCAAACCCTTCAATGTATACAACGGTTCCCACATTCACTCCTTCGGGTATGAACTGGAAGAATGGTAGGGAAGGGTAGGACACAGACAACAGTTCAGTGAATATAGCTTTAGACATAACTGACACTAATTATTAAAAATGCAAAATATTATACAGTTTTGTATTCTTAATAATAAAAGAAAACTTTTAACACAATTTATTTGAAACACTTTTACTATTGAATTTCAAGTGTAGGAGTTTTGCTTCAATTCGCATAAATAGTTTCCCAAATGAGTTATAAAACTTAATATAATGTGAATTTTTTCCGCTTTTAATCGTTTAGTGAAAAAAACTTTTGCGAAACTGTGGTAACCGTTGGGAGAGTGAGAAAGTAATGAAACGAATGGCAAAAAACAAGTTTCAGTATTTAAAACACTTTTATATATTACAAAGTATATTGCATTTCATATTTTGATTAGTTGAACGTAATTTGGGCGTTAATTCACTATTGAATTAAAATAAGTCATAAATGAAGTTCACTATTGTTTTAACGCATAAATATAATTATTTACACATTCAATGTCTATTACTAGGAAAGGAAAATAGCGCTCAAAATGTATTTTTCCAATCATATAATAGCACTATTTGTGTGTTTATATGATTTGGCTTTGAAATATTAATGCTTAAAAATGATTATTCTCTCTCACCTACTAATTAATGCGAGAGAGAGAGGGAGAGAGAGAGGGAGAGAGGGAGAGAGAGAGAGAGAGAGTTCAGACAATTGCAAAATTCATATGAAAGTCACGCTTCGAATAATGAACACAGAAATTAAAGTATTATTTTATATTTTATTAAATAGTTATTCGTGTGTTTAAACATTACAATCAATTTTGCACAAAAGGTTTACTACAAAAAGTAAAATTATAAATATAAAAAACAAAAAGTTTTGTCAAATTTCTCAATTATATGATTCGTAACCAATGAACGAAAGCCAAGAAATAAACGTTTATTTTCTTCCTTTTAATTTCTCATATGTTTTTCGTAATTAAAATTTTGACTGTAATTAAGTGTGATTATGCTTAATTTAATCAAGCTTCTATGATTTATTATTAAAATTAATTTTTAAGACTT